CAGAAGAGATATAAAACGCAAAGATGGGAAAACCAGATGACAAAAACTCGAAATGGGACCGCAGCCCGAGCACTGCTAACACACAATAAAAATGATTTCCCCAAAAAAACACAAAAAAATTACTCCTAAAACAGTTTTCACAAAACAAAAATATTATCGTGGAAGGCCCTCGTACTGTTCTTGAAACAAAAACAAAAATTACTCCTAAAAACGTCTTCACAAAACAAAAAAAAATGTCGTGGTAGGCCCCTGTGCAATCCCCACAGTTCCACTCACATTTTGGCCGCATATAAAAATAATAAATGATATATTCGTTTCAACCACCGAAAGGCCCCCGGTGTCCAGACACCGTTTTACTTTCACAGGGAATTATGGTGAGTTTCTGTGACTATCACTCCCTTTTTCATTCCTTAATTCCTTCCTTCTCGCATCGGCAGACACACAATGCCGAGAACATCCGCAGCTGTCCAAGAAAAGCGGTTAGTTGTTTTTATTCGTGTCTTTTCGACCGAATTCAGTGGCCTGCACGTCAGCTGGCACCGTGGCACACGTCCGCACCGCGAAAAACCAAGACGTAAAGGAGAGAGAGAGCCCCGATCCCTCCCGTGGCGACAGCAGTGCGGAGGCGCAGTGAAGCATCTCCCACTGCCAAGCAAACACGCAGGTTCAACGCCATCGTCAAGAACAAACCGACAAAAAAACAACTGGCAAACCAAAACAAAAAAAAACATATCCGTAAAGCAGTAAACCAACAAAGCAGTGAATAAATGAACACAGAAAAAAAAACGGTGATTCACCTTCAGTTACTGCTAAAGAAGAACAATATTACAAACAAAAAAAAAACAGAATGGAATAAATGAAGACACCGCGGTGCTGGCGTCGAAAGAAGAGCGCAATTTGTGGGTACAAGAAACAAAAAAAAACGTAAAATAAAACAAAACGCATGTCCACATTAGACTTTATTTACTTCTGAAAGCGCGTGGAGAATCGGAGATGCTCTCAGTAGAAGCATAAACTCCCCTCCACCGGGGCTCCACTCAGCACAGGGCAACAAAACCCTATAGCTCCAATAGCAGCAGAATTGACACCCGGAACACATCTGCACGCGTGGAACTGTCACCTGCACGTTTCTCAGAAGTATCGTAGCTGCCGCCTGCATGTTTCCAAGACGCATCGGAATCGTCGACGTTTGCGTTCCTTCTCACCCAGTGGGCGGTTGTACAAAAAGACATTCTTCACTGTCACACTGCTGTTTTTGCCGCCACCAAAGTAAAAGTGAGAGATTCGGTGCCTCTGTGCTTCAAGGGTTGGTAGTTTGTTAGTAATCCCCAGAAGCACGCCGTTGACGTACACGGAGCCCTTGTTGCCCTGCAGCATGAGCGCCACTTTGTACTCCTTTCCCCGCTCCCAAGTGCTGTTGTGTGTTGTTGTTGTCATGCCGTTGAAGACTGTACACCACTCGTTCTCCCTCGTGTACGACAGCCCCACAAATGTCGTGTTTTCATTGTCCTCCAGTCCCGCACACAGCAGAGGAATGCTCTCGTTCGTAACCTTATGAATCCCCACCGTCGCCACAAGCGTAAACGCGTAATTCACAAAGCTGTGCACATAGTGATACTTCCACATGTTCACAGGCCACATCGCGTATGATTCCGACCCCGTGAACTTAAAGCCATTTTCGATCTTCTTTGCATTCGTCACAGTTGCATTCAAACAACGGTACGCGTCGTTCCAAGTCCCATCACCCGATGCATCCGACAAGAACCCAACCAGACCGGCCGTGGGCACAGAGGAGTTGGAGAGGAAGGAGTCCAGTTTTGCCCAAGTCTTCAAGACGGACGTGATCGTCTTCAGCTCCTTCGTTAGGGAAGCAAGAGCCAGGACTTTGGTCGTTATACTGACCCTCTCTTGTAAAAGATGCAACGCATCGTTAGAGTACAGCAGGGTGTTGCCAGACATCCACTTCCTTTTAGTGTCCATGGAAATGGGCCCGACGTGAAACGTGCGGCTGTCGTCAGTGACCCAAAGGTAGAGCGCGGTGGCTTGCACCATCTCCCCAGGGGGAATCCCTTTCTGAGTGTACAGCATAACCTTCTTTCCAGCAATGGTCGCAGTGGTGAGGGACCCTACTCTCTCAGCTGTTCGCAAAGCGTCTGGTAAAAACCTGAGCTGCACGCGCGTGAGTGTCCTGACAGCTTCCCTCCACGTTGCCCCCATGTCCCTCGACTCGAACACCTTGGAGAGAGAATTGCATTTGGCAACCATGACAAGCTGCCCCTGCTCCCACTCAACGATGAGGGGGTCAGTGCATCCCGCGGGGAGCATCCCAAGTGGAAGCGTCCAATTTTTGCCGTCGTCCTTCGAATAAATGATCATGGAGAAACTGTCTTTTTCTCCTGTCCTCCTCGCCGTCACAGGAAACACGAACGTGCCATTCTCCATCACAACGCCCGAGCCACCACCACTAACAAACTCATCCAGACCACTCTGATCAGCAGATGGCTCGATTTGTGGCAAAAGCGAGGTAGGTTCGCCCCATTGGATGACTTTATCTTGCGTGGCCTCACCCACGAGCAAATCAAGGTCCTGTGGGGATGCAACCCAGTTCTGCGATGAATTATTATACTTCAGATAATAGTCTTCCACAAGTAGAAAGACCTTGTTGCCCTTTGCAATTGCTGTGGGTCGGCGCGCGCGTCTCACAGGAGAGGCACGTCCCTTTGGAATGGTCATGTTAAAGATGCTGTGCGCCTTCCATTTATCTGCATTAACTTTAGCAGCAAAAGACGACCAGCTCTCCGCAGGGTCGATGTACCCCGCCACAACATCAGCATAATAGGCCAAAAACTGTTCTTCACCGGAGTCTGGAAGGCTGGTGTGGCTCTTGGCAAGCGCAACCAAGACCCCACCAGCACTGACGAGAGAAGGTGAGTTAAAGGAATTCCCCAGTTGATTTTCACCTTGTGTTTCCACAATCGTTTGACGCGGCACAAAAAGATCGACAGGCTCTGGCATTTGTATTTCATTTGGTTTATTCCTCTCGGCGTGCACAGCAGTACTGCCACAGCATATCAGCAGCACAAAAAGCAGCAGCAGCACCAAATAAGAAAACAGGTGCCGGTACATCTTAAGCATGTGTCGCTGCTCACTCATTCTCTCTCCCTTCCCTCCTTGTGGTGAATCCGCTCAGGCCGCGCCGGCTTTGTGTTTGTTGCTGGTAGTGACTGCGGAGCCTTTCAATGCGTACAATAACAAGTAGTCTTCGTTATTGTTCGTTCCGTGTGTGAGAAAGAAAAAAGCAACCATCCCAAAAAAATGAACCGCCGGCGCCACCAGTTGGGCACCTCGCAAAGAACAGCAAGTATCCGTATCTAAGACCGCACCGACAAACATGTGGGCTGCACGATCACACACTCGCCGCCGCCCAAAGAAAAACCCACACGCACCCACACGGGGAGTCCGCAGTGTGGGACGCCCCCACATAAATCAAAAATAAAAAAACGAAACAAATTCATAAGCACCTCGTTTACCGTCTCCCCCGCCCAGCCCCTTCAAACCCTGCCAGCATCACCACGCAGTGCGCATGCCGGCGAGACCTCCCATCACGGCCCTTACAAAATCCCCAACGCCCCTCACCTCCCTTAGCGCACTGCAGAAGGAGTGGGGCGCAACGTCAAAAATGAAATTGAAAGAACAATAAAAGCAATACAAAATAAACGGGGCACGCAGTACCACCACGACAAGACACACGCAGCAGATGCCTTTACTCTGCGGCCACAAAAACAAACTCTCGCAGCGACACCGCCACCGACAAACCTAAACGCAATCGCCCGCCTCCCAGCCGCACCGCGGTGCTCGTGAAAGTGAGGCACCTCAAAGAGTCTCAGGGGAAAACAAGAAACCACTTCAACCACCACGCACGGCACGTACGCCTCCATACGACGTCGCCAACCGGCACTGACGCACCTTCCGGTGCCAAAAATACACCGTGTTCTCCTCCTCTTTACGCTGAGCAGCATTCAGGGCGCGACGGCGTCACGCCCCCGCCACCTGTGTTATTTGGCCCACTCGCAGCGTGCCGCACGTCAATAATTTCCCCCTCGACAACTCGTCAACGAAAGTTTCCCCATTTTATTAAATACACCTCGCCGTGCACTCACTGAGCTGCCTCACTGTGCCGGCGCCGCCGCAGCAACGTGCGGCCCAACCGCCCTCCACCGTCAACACCCACAGCACCCCGTACTTCCAACCCACATGTGCAGGGGCACTATTCCTTCTGCAGCAATACAGCGGCCTCGGTGGGGTGCCCCATTTAGGGTCTTGCGTGCAGCGCACACAACCGTCGCCGGTGCCAGCCAGCTGCAGACAGACACTTGTGTTGGGGCTGTGTCTTGCCGACAGAGAGATCCTGCCCGTATGATTGCGACCACAGGCCGCGTTGCTAGTTCCTTTGACAAACGGAAATCCGGAAGCTCCACCAATACGTGTATATATTATATATACACATACTCCCTTCCTCCATCCCCATGTTCGTTGCCGGCTGTTATTTTGTTTCATCTGCCAGTTTCTCACCCATCGGTGCGCCGAGAAACACACCTCGCCGCCACACCTCCCTATGCCACCGAGGGGACGTCTTCACCACTCCGTGAAATGCGCCCTCGCCGCGCCACGGCTGCATGCCCAATCCCAACGAAAACAGTAATTCCCAGCACCCGAAAAGGCAATCGACCCCACCGCCCCCACCGCCGCAAGGAACCGACCAAAAGACTCACGGAAAATGTCATGAAACCAAAAAATAAAAAATTATAAAATATGCCTCCGGATGAGGCCATATGGCTACAACTCCTAAAAAGCGAAGGTCGCATAATGGGGGATCGCAGTTTGGCTCGGTGCGCCCCGCAACCACCCGAATCCCTTCTGCATTGGAGGGTGTCATTATTACCATCAGTTGCTGTGGAGGGTTGTGGCGTGGAAGAACTCAAAATAAAAAATAAAAAACACTCGCGCTGCTCCCCAACGCGGCATCGCTGAAAGCTAAAAATCAAGTCATCCGCAAAACAAGCAGAGGAGCCACACAAAACCATCTGTCGTCTGCTCAGCCTTAGCGGGTGGCACACTCCCCCCACCGCCTTCTCTCAGCAAAGCACCCCACCCCCGCTGCAATACACACGAGGAAGCCGCCACTCCACACACTACACCAACCACAATAATAATACAACTCGCCTCTCCCCCACTCCCAGCCATGCCGCCGCCCTTCCTTCCCCACCAAGAAAGAAACGCACTAAAAGAATGCCTTGAAACGACACAAAGCCATACAGCACCATGTAACACACGAGCAGGGAATAGAATTCCCAAACACACTCCACGTCCCTGTCACTTATCCTGAGTGGCCTTCGCTGGCAGCAACAACCAGCTGGACAGCCAGCTCCGTGTCCAGCTGCACCTGGTACTGCTCCACCCTTCTCTCCCAAAAGTCTCTGGCAACCTGAAGTCCTGGCATTTCCTTTTCTCCCTCCGTGATATGGCAATCCCGCCTTCCCGTCATTGGCGTGCTCTCAGCGTGCTGGGTGTAAATGATCTCCCACTTCATCTTTTCCCTCAGCGCCTCCCAGCCCTTGAAGTTGCACGTCATGTACTTCAGAAACGCAGCCACCTTACCGGCAGTGGTGTGGTGGGTGTTGTGTTTTGTCACCTGCAGCCCGATGAACGTCACTTCACTCTCCGCATCGCTGTGCCCACCGGCGCCAGCATTTCGGGACCACCCAAATTTAATTTTTTTCTTGGCCGTTTGCGCTCGTTGCGCCTCGGCCACGTAGAACGCGTCCAGCAAGGGGAAAAAGCACTTGTTGAGCATATACAGAACGCCAGCTTGAACTTTGGTCTGGATTATTACTCTTCTATTATATCCACCTGCCATGCACCCGACCACGCAGGGGTCCCTTGGAAAGCGGCCCACCGCATGCCCGTCCGCCAACACGCTGGCCCGCGTTCCTCCCTCGCTGCGGGGAAGGTGCTTCATCTGGCGAGCAACCGCTTCAGCGACGTCGCTGCTCAGAAAGGCCACGCAGCCCAAGCACTCAATATCATCAGCTGCAGACTGACTCCACGTTCCCAAAGCGGACAGCAGGCGGGACATCCTAAAGTTCTTCATTAGCACCCGCCTCCGCAATGTTCTTTTTGACCTCAACTGAAACGGGAAAATTCCTGCAGCTTTCCGCGTCCTCTCCATTCCCCGCATTGGGCCTCACCACCACCGACGCATCCCTCACCACGCGCTCCTCCTCAACACACGCACCACCTTCCCTGCGCACAAATACATCCTCGTAATCTGGCAAAAGGAAATTTTGTGCGGCCACGCAAACGCAGATCTAAGCACAAAAAACTCCAGCCACGTATCAGGAGGCCCCAGCCTCTCAGTATTTAACGCTTCCTCTTCCTCCTCCTCAATCTCACGAGGACAAGCCATGACGTTCACCTCATTCCCACTCCACAATATCTGAGGCCTGCTGGAAGCGGCGCCCACCACCCTCATCCCAAGCAGCTCCGCAAAGTGGCCCGACTCCACGTAAGTCCCACGTTGCATTCAACACTGACTGGTAGACCCTCTCATCCAAAACCACAGGTGCAAGCGGCTGCTGCAACCGCCCACCCTAATTATTCCTCCACCCTTCGGCGCTGCGCTGCATTTTGTTGACTGTCGCCATCGAACTCCGACCTCGCCCACCGCTCTCCATGTGGCACATTAGTTGCTGGAGCTCCTCGGCGGCGTGAGATTCCTCCTCGCGTCTCTCAGACATGCTTTCCTTCGTGGTGGTTAACTTGAGTTGAACTGCAGCACAATACTCAACCAGCAGTCAAAAGGGAGAATGAAATTATTTAAAAAAAAACAGGCAGAGACACAACTCCACGCAGCCGCAACGAAAAAAAGAAAGAGAGGGCCACCCACACACGGCACGCGGCGCACACCTCACACACACACAAACAACGAGGGCAAATTGGATCTCCCTAGGCAAACCGTGCAAATTGCACAGCACACACAACAACTGCGACGAGGCTTCTATCTTCTTCTCGTATTGCACTTCACATTCAGATCCCCACAGCTCTGTGTGTGTGTAGTCACACGCAAATATCACCCACTCATAGTGAAATTGACTGCCTCGTCGCAGTGGCATTTTGCGCTGCAATTCGCTGAGGTGCGAAGGAGCAAAACACCCGCCGCCTCTTCGTTCACCCGCAAGAAGGAGGGACGCCACCGCATTGCCCCCCGCGACGCAAACATACGCTGCACCCAGCACGTGGTGCGGTGCACGTGAATTCCGTGAGGGAAGTGTTTACCACACGACTGGGCCGCACGGGGCACAGCCTGCGAGGGCAGCCTGCAGACGTCTCCGCCTCCTTCAGTCGTCGTGGCGGTGGAACCCGCAGATTGTCAGACGCCGGCACATTTGCCCCCGACGCAACCAACAAAAAGAGCGCGGCAGCATATTCCCCGGCGCAAGAGCAGAAGCGGCAGCCCCACTCTGCGGCCACCGCACCACCCAGTAAGCCCCACACAATCTTCCGCATTTCTTTTTTAGGCCGCACGCCCCCGCAAGGCTCCGCCACGGGAACGTATGAAAGTGGTGGCAAAAACACCCCGCCACCGTCGTCACCAAGCCACACAACCCAAAAAAAAGGGCCCAAAGACAGGGCAGGACAAAGTGTCCGCGCGAACACACCCACAGCGCCAGCAAACTCAGACAAAAGAAGCCGCCCACCCCGTACCGCCCCTCAAGACAGCACCCCACACGCAGCGCTCCGCACTCGGAATGAAAGAGGGGATGACCCACAGCACATCTCTCCTCCCCCTTGTCTCTCTCTTCTTTTCATCCCCACAGAAAAAAACAGCAACAACTGCAGGCGGCATTGCCAGCATCGACTACAAAAAAAAAACATCCATGCGCACTGCAATGTAAAGATCTATCGTATACGTCTGTGTGTGTGTGTGTGTGTGCTTGCAGATGGTAGACAGCAAAAATAAAACAAAAAAAACATGTGAGGACGCAGACAAGCGCACAGCAGAGTTGCAGGGCGGAAAGAAAGAGAAAGGTGAATGACGAGACTTAATGCAGCTCATGGAGCTGCACGCCGCAGCAGATATGCTTGAAAAAAGAAAAAAAAGAAAAAAGAAAAAAAACGTCCTCCATGTTGTTTTCGCAAAAAAAAGTTGTTCCATTTAAAAGAGTTCCACCCCATGTCCACACGCGTCATTTGTATTCCATTGGAACACTTCGGCGTGCTGTTGCTGCCATCCTCGGCTCCTCCCATCGGTGCGTCGCGTCCGTGTGCGGCGAAAACAAACAGGAAGGGAAAGGGGGAGCACGTTGCCCATGGGGATGTGCACAACAAACGACCATTGAAACGAAAAACAAAAACAAAAACAAAAAAAAGGGATGCCAATTGCACAAGCAAAGCCCCAGCTGCAAACAAAAGTAACAAAAAAAGATTTTTTTCCCCAAAACAAACAAAAAAAAAGGGGTCTCTCAAGGACTTGCAGTGAGTGACACCGGGGACCTGAGGATGTATTTTTTTAATATTATTTATGAAGCGTCGTATTTGCGCCTACCCTTTCATTCAGCAGAAAGCCGTCAGCCCCCACAACCCCAGCAGGGCAAGCAGCAACAGCCGAGACACACACCCACGCACCGTGCCGTCGCCAGAAAGAGAAATGCCGGATGCGTCCTTCGCAAGACTCGCGCTGGTGTTTTCAAATCCATCACCCGGCGAAGACCCAGACTCCTCACCAGCACTGTGACTGCCTTTATGGGTCTCCCCTGGTAGAGGCCCTTTAGGATCCAAACCGTCACCAACCCTCTTTTCTCCAGGTTTCAGCTTGGAGGCAATCTCCTCATCATTCCCCAGCGTTGTGAGTGGCCCCTCAGCAGCCGGTTTTGGAAGTGAGACTTTGCTGGCACTGAGGCTCGTGAGCCCATTATCACCCAGTGCCTCGTTGTACAGCAGGACACCGCCCACTGTCACGTCAACCTCGTCTGTTCCCTTCGCACCGTCGCCGCCAACGTAGAAGTCCGAGACATCCCGTGAGGTATACTCAGAGAGCGGAACTCTCTCCTGAATAAGCTTATTATTGTCAACGTACACATACAACGATTCCCCAAGCTTTTTCAGTACCACTTGATACGTTGTGCCAGGCTGCCACGTACCATCTTCATCTGACAACCCCCGAGACTTTCCGTTGACAGTCACTCCCCACTTTTTGTCCTTCGTGTAGAAGAGACCAACAAGCACAATGCTGGCATCGTCATTCATCCTCACACCCATCAAAGGAACAGGACTGTCTGTCTCCGGCACCGCGTTAACCATCAACGTCGCCACAAGAGTGAAGTCATTGTTCACAAAGTAGTACGGTTGGAACTGCCCCTTGTTGCCCACCGGCCACTCCGCCCCCGCTGCTGCGCCTCGGAACCTCACACCCCCCTCCGTGCCTGCCACATTCCCACCATGCACCGTTGCGTTCACTCCGAGGTACTCGTCCTTCCATAAATTCCTCTCCAAACTGTTGGACCAAAAGCCAGCCAGCCCTTTGGTGGGAACAACACTTTTACACACATTCTTTATCCGCAGGTCAACAGTGCCAATGGAAACGCAGTTTTTGAGTGCGGTGTCCATATCTTTCCAGACCTTCACCACGCTCTTTATCTGCTTCAGCTGCTCAGTCAGGCTCACGGCGACAAGACTGTATGAATCTCCGCTCTTCTTCTCGTACAGTAAAATCAACTCCTCCTTGTCGGCTCTGTACAGCAAGGAGCTGGCGGCGGCGTCATCACCTTCGCGAGACACCGGCCCAACGTCGTGCACACGGGCATTGTCTGTCATCCAAAGATGCAGCTGACCCTCTCCCTTCTCATCAGAATACACCGGCGTGGTGAGCAGCATCACCTTCTTTCCATCGATGGTTGCAGTGATGAAACCACTTCGCACGGCCTCGCCTTTTCTATCACGTGAATTACCCCATAGTTGAGTAATTGGCGCACTGTCATACCAATACTTCAAAGACGTAATAGTCCTGTATACATGATAGGAGCCATCCGTGCAGGGAGTCATCATGAAGATGCGTCGGTCATCGACTTCGCCCCACTCCACAATCGATGGATTGTGGCAACCTTCACCCACCGTATCGAGCAAAGGCTCCCATTTATTCTCTGATGGGGTGAAGCGCAGGATCAGCAAAACGTTCTTTCCACTCTTTGTGGCCTGCATGGGAAACACAAGTGTGCCGTCACTCATCACAGTACCCGATCCTCCGACAGCAGATAAATGAGTCAAGGATCCACGAACTCCAGTGTCAGAATGCATTGCATGTGGCTCACCCCACTGGACTTTCTTCTCTCCACCCCCAGTGACACTCCCCTTCACCAGCACAATCTTACATCCACTTCGATCAGCCTCTTTGGTCTCCGGTGTTGCACGGCTGCAGCTTCCCAGCAGCATATAGACATTGTTGCCACTCACAATTGTCGTTGGTCGCACTGCGTCCTTCATTTCGTTACCACCTTCCTTCAGCAGCTGCGTGTGAAAGGAACCTGTGCCCGCACCCATCGGAATCTCAGTCGGTTCTGTTCCAATTTCCTTGAGGTGTTGTGACAAGATGCCAGTGAAGCTGCCGCTTCCATTCTTGCACTGAGCCTCAGCAACGGCAAACACAGCACCGTCCACCTCCACAAGGCTGGGGACACGCAGCGAGCGAACTGACCCTTCGACGCGTTGCATTTCCTCCCATTTGGCGCCAGTTATCGGTGTCGTCCCTCCAAATAAATTAATAGCCGTCCCTGGGATACTCCCCGCAGCTTGACTGCCACAGCATGTCAAGAGCACAAACAGCGGCAGCAGCACCGAATAAGAAAAAAAATGCCAGGACATCTTGGGTATGTGTCGCTGCTCACTCACACTCTCTTCCCTCCGTGTGGTGAATCCGCTCAGGCAGCAAGCGCGAGTGTGTGTGTGTGTGTGTGTGTGGGCGGTGGCTACAAAACCTTCAATGTGCACAGCAGCAAGTAGCGTTTGGTGTCTTTCCTTCCGCGTGTGTGTGGAAGAGAGAAAAGTGAAGTGAAACCAATATATATATGAAACGGTGGCCACCACCGCCGTTGTCAGTGAAGACTCCTCACCAGTGTACGCGCAGCAATTCTTCTGCACACTCAACCCACGGCGGATAAATGCACAGACGCACATAAACAGACAGAAATGTATACCACTGAAACAATAGAAAAACAAAAAAAATGGTTGGGATTCACGTGGGCAGCAAGTAAAAGACAGCGTCTTTCTCCCGATCGACTGGGAAGTCTATCGGTGGATTTGTCATGACGAATCGTTGGCCGTTAAGAGATACATTATTTGTGTCGTAAATGCAAACATGCAAAGCAATGGGTATGTAGCGTAGGCTAAGGCAGTAGTTCACGACATCCTTGTAGGTTTCAATCACCTCGTATGAAAGAGCCAGTGAAAGTCGCCCCAGCGAAGGAGTCTCTTGATCCACACCGCTCACAAGCATGTCAAAAATGTCAATGAACTCTGGCATGAAATACGTAAGGTGGACGGCAGGAAAAAGCATAAGTCTGCTAATGGCGTTGCCAATGATGTAATTTGGTTCATAAACAAAATCCACTTCCGCCTTCTTACGGAAGCGGTCATACTCCGCGTAGGGCGGGAACAGAGAAAGGTGCTGAAGACTATCTAGCTCCACCACAACGGGGATGTTGTGCGAGGAGGGGAGGATGGAGGCAATGGAGAGGTTAACGAGCATCGACAATCCGGTGGTTGATTTACTACTGGTGCCGCCAAAGGCAAGAATGATGATGCCAGCACTTTCCTGGGGGTTACAGCGCCGCAGGTCATTCCCATTTAACCCGCAGCCGTCTACATACCTTATAGGAAGTGCCCCATTGAAGCTATTCCAATAGCGGTCAAAGTACACTGAAAAGGATGTATCCTTCGTCAATAGCACAATGTCATTTTGAGGATACGACTGACGAATACACTGCATAACGTGAAAAACGTTGACGGCTGCGGAAGTCAGGGTTCCCTCGTGTGCTCCCTCCGTCTCCGCCGCACGATCCTTTGCTATGGAGAGATCGATGACAACAAAGTGGTTTTCAAAATCATAAGCATGATCCACTTTCTGAATGCACTCAGAAGGTTCAGGAAGTTCAGTTGACAAGGATGCCGAGATCAGTTTTCCGTTCCCCATGAAAAAGGAAGAGTCATACAGTTTGTGATCGTCCTCTCGGGAGGTGGCGGGGTCATAAGTTTTCTCCACCTCTTCAATGGCCTCTTCCACCGTTTCTGGACTTCTGGCAATGACTATCATCTTTGTGATGGAGCCGGCAAAGCGCGCAGGGTTCAGTTGTACCCTTCCAGCCTCTGTGATAACGCCTATGACCGTAACCTCATACTTGAAAAACAACTTTGCTAACGGGCAAAAGTTTTCTCCGCGGCATGCATCTGGCACCGCCACGCAATAGATATTATTTCGTAGAGACGACTCGTACTGCTCTACCCAGTGGTGGGCCCGATTCAGGTCCAATGTAATGGGATCGTAGGTTCTAAGCAGGTTTATAATAAGTGGGATAGCTCCGGGCACAGCAACACCGAGGCCAAGCAAATGATGCAGGAGTCTCTCCCCCTCCACCACTCCAGCAGCGTAGGATGCCACATGTTTGGTGTTTTTTTCGCTGCGAAGATACAAATACTGTGCGAGCTCAGGATCATGATGATTGATGAAAAGTGATTGCTGAATGAGGTTGTAATCCGTGTAAAACGTGGATGGAAAGGTGTCACCAAATAAAAATATGGCGTCGGCATGACGTGCATCCGCACGCTTAAGGTCCACCTCCCTTTGGGGATCCCCAATCATCAGCAGCACGCGATCCTTAAACCAGGGCAAGTCTACCAGCAGTTTAACCTCAGGTGGAGGCTCCACCGGTGAGAGCAGCACAATTTTTAGGTCAACGTATCTTCGCCAACCGCCATAAAAGTCCTGCAAAATAATTTCTACTCCCATCTCCGTAAACACACCAGCCAAAATCACATGAGCCCTTCTTCCGCCATGGGAATTGTACATATTATAATGCAAGCGCTGGCGAGTAAAGGCGGCCACTCGCTGAAACAATGGCATGAAGTGACTCATGGCAACCAAAATAAAAACGCCCATCAGTAGCCGAGACGGCGTTGATTTCGGTGTCACATCGCCGTAGCCAATGGTGGCGAAGGCGAGCATCATGCAGTAAAATGCATCAAAGATGTCCATGTAAGGCCCAGTTATGCTCTCAACAATCTGAAGTGTGGCGGCACATGTACAGATGCCGGCAAATAAAGAGATAAGAAAGCGGCAAACTTCTCGGGTGATTTCCCTCATCCAACGTTCCACCTGCGGGTAATCCAAAAGCACCACCACACAGTCACGCAGCCACCACACGCGAAGATACATGGGAACCCAATAGCTGCGCCACCTTGGGTCCACAAACCCTCCAATACCAATAACTGCCATTGGAACACTTGTCAAGGCATTTACTATAGATAGCCATGAGAGGCAGTACCCCACCCTGTCCTCCTCCCCGAAAAAAAGAGCGACCCACTCCAGGAAGAAGATAATATTGAGTGCAAGCTCAACGTTAAACATGGCTTCATCCCAGTGAAACTCCGCCACGGACGTGGCTGCGGACGCCATAGAGGTCCATACATACAATACCACCGAGGCCAACTCCATGATAAGGTGAAGAATCAAGAAGGTGATGGATATGTTGCTGTACTTCCGATCCATAATTTCAAATAACTTGCGAAAAGAGCGGACGCTGCCAAATTTGTTATGGCGGTACGCCATATGTGAACGAGATCCAAACATTTTTTGATGGAACATGTTACTGGGTAGAGAGACCTGCCTTCTTCCTTGTGTTGTGAGTACCTTGCTTCGTTGTTAGATGTCGTCGCCTCGCTCTTCCCTCCCGCCTCCCCCTCCCCCCTTACACACACAAACATAAATAAGTGATAAAATATATATATAGATATATATATATATACACACTCCAAAACATAACCCACACCCCACACTCAACCTAACAGGGCAAGCACGTATATTTAGATACATAAACACACATGTGAAGAAATAGGGAAATACAGTATGTGTTTGTGGGGTGAAATGACGTACGCAGTACGCATAGCACTAGGGTATCTCAGGTGCATTAACGGGTCCTTTCAGCAGTAGTCCAACGTAGCCGGCTTCCACAACGGTGTTTTCTACTGCCTGTTTTGAAACCAAGTCATACGACTTGTGGAGTCCGTACGTCCCTGTCACAAGCACAATATCCCCTTTTTGTGCTCTGTACCGAGGCGCAATAACACGTACAGTCAGTCGATTACGGTACATTTTTAACTGACCAACACGTCGTAGACGATATCCGTCAGTTTGAAGGGTAAACTGCATTGCCTCTAAACCTGTCAAATGCTCCTCCCCAGCCTCTTGCGCAGTGTCGACGCCCAGTTTACCTAACTCAACATCGCCCTCCACCATGCCGACACACCAGACCTCGGAGGTGCATGTGCCCAATCGGAAAGGGTGTTCCCGCAGTTGTTGCACCTCCCCCATGGAAATACCGACCGCCTTCCCGTCGGGAACTGCAGCTGGAAAAAGCTTCCCACCCCTACTTTCCCCTGTAGATGATGACTCCGTTGATGCCGTCGATAATGATGAGGCAGAACGCGCTCTCAAGGTATTGGTTTCTTGTAAATTTCTCAGTTCATCGAGCAGCCGCGCGTTTTCCTCCCTCAAACGTTCAAGCTGCTCCTGTGAGGGAGACTTCAGAAGTACAAGATGACGGGAACGCCGGTGCTGCTGCAGATTAGCGACACTAAGAAACCGCTTCCCACATTCAGGACACTTCAGCGAAGTGAATGGTTCCGCTGCCTCGCCTGGGTTTGAAAGCCTGTTTGGGGCAAGACAATATCGAGAACAAGCCGTAACAAAGTGACGAGCGTTCGCATGATGGGCACCAAACCTCGTTTCTCCAACGCTGTTAAGAGAGTGACTACCAGGAAGAAGTGGGGCATGGCGATACCGTCTCTCGCCGAAGGAAAGCAAGGAACGTGCGGTGCGGATTCCACCACCTACTCGTTGCATTTCTTTCCTTGGGAATTCACAGCAACAACTGAGATAAAAAAAAAAAAACGGATGCAGGGCCCTACACAACCAGAATATTCACCCTTTATTCCTCCCTTTTTCTTATGTAGTTACGTCCCATCTCAAAGAGCGGTGAGGTGAGGAGGCAAATCGCCACGTGGTTTGCATAAGAACGACTGGCGAGACAGAACGAACATGAAGCAACAAAAAAAAAGCTTACTTTAGTGGCACACATCCGCGTTTCATTCTCTTCGTAATTCGTACGTCATTCTCTCTCTCCCTCTGGGTGCCCGTTCATGACTCTTAAAGAATGGCCAAAAAGACAAAGCCCACTGCAATCCAAGCCCAGATGTGGGAGTAACTCCTCGACGCCGCCACGGAGTCGTGCGTGGCGTGAGGTCTATTAGAGACGCAAGAAAAAGCTCGACAGGCCGAACTACAGCGAACAACAATGCAGCGAAGGAATTACCCTAAGCTCAAGAATGATAAGGGAAAAAAAAGAAAAGGGAAAACAATAGAGCAACAAACAAACAAACATCGTTGGACGCTGCTGCAACAAAAAACAAAAAAAACTTCACGTATCATAATTTCTTGATGAGAATGCTGGTGGCTATTTTACCACCTACGATAGGCGCAGGTGCACGCATAAAGGCATCATGGCGCATTGATGTGGGACATACATGCGCGAAATAGCCGAGGCAATGCAGAGTGCAGCGCATCACTACGTCAATCAACGGAGAAGTGTCATTTCATTGACAACAGCCTGATTTGAACGGCATTCACTGAGATGCGTAAAGAAAAAAAAACAAGGACAAGAAAAAGTCACCTCTTCCATTGTCCCTTGATCTTAAATATATTGTTTCACTGTAAGCCGCAATGTCATGTTCTGTGGATTTGAGGAGATAAAACTCCCTGCCTGCAGCGTCGAGCCATCCCACATGCCAAACATGTTGCAATATCACGTCGCACCTCATGTTCATTCAACCGGTTGCAGAACACTTGTCGGTGTCTTTCTTCTTTCAGACGGATCTGCGGCACGATGTTGGGTTTGCTGCCGGTAATTGTAGGCGTCCACCAGCAAATTGCACGTAGTCATGAGAAGAACGACCCGTACAACCAAAGTAAACGGGCATACCATGATGAAAGCGACCTTGACGATGCAATCAACCCCCCCTCCCCCTCCCACCTAACTTTGCTTACACGCTCTCGCTCTCACTCTCTGGTTCTATCAAAAGGCCCAAAGAAGAAATAAGAAGGAAAACAATAGGCAGAACTGCTTGCACTTTCCCTCGTTCCCTGCGGAAAGCTCCATATTTGCAATCCACTAAAAAAAAAAAATCTACATGAACACAAAATTCCGCCCATGAAAGCAAACAAGTCTTCGTCTAGTCACACAAAGAAGTGAGTATATGCGTGTGTGGGTGCGTGGTATATATATATATATATATATATATATATATATA